GTGCCACTGACCAAACAGCACATCCTGGACTATCCCAAACTGAAGCATCCATGTCAAAGGCACTTTCAACCTCTTCTCCCAACATTGTCCTCTCCACTTCCAATCTGACTACTAACACTACAACCTCTGATACCTCTCACCCGGTCCCTGTCAACAAGCCTTCTGTCTCCCTCCATCCCCCAACAACTTCAGTCATTTCTTCTGTAACTCATCTTGTCTCGTCCCGAGCCCGTTCAGCAACCCGTTGTCTTACTCCCACCTCCCGCTGTAAATATCCTACAATTCCTACCACCATCCTCCAAGATGCACCCTCCTCAATAACTGCCCAACTCATTGAATCACGCAACCCTCATGCTCTTGTACATGCACAAAACCCCACCAGCACCCCATCAAAACCTAAAAATTCATAAAGATCATACAGTTTAATGTGCGGGCATATTTCAACATTAGACACATGGTGTCAGATTTTATTGAGATCGAGAGACCTGATGTGCTATTATTAAATAGCACATACATCACGAACTCATATAAAATCAAACATTATGGCTACACCTCTTACCAGTCACCAGATGAAGCACATGAAGGAGTTGCAATACTCATCCGTTCTTCATACAAACACGAACTCTTACACACTCATTGGCTTCACAAACATTTCCTAGCCATTAAAGTTCATACACAAATGGGGTCTCTCATCATCTGCACAACCTACACCCGTCCTAACACCGACATTCCCATGCAAGATTTCATAACTCTCTTCAACAACTCTCACTTGCCTGTTTTTCTGCTTGCAGACCTCAATGCACAACACCCTACATTCCACCACAATACCACAAATCAGCATGGCAGACAGCTTCACCAAATATACACCCAAAAACATCTATTCTTTCTTGGCCCTGATTTCCCCACTTGTTTCACACATACAGGTTCTGGCCGGCCTGATCTCATATTCACCAACAGACACGGCAGCAACTTGCAACACTTCATTTCACCAGGGCCCATTACGGGCTCTGATCATATTCCCTTAATTCTCACAGTCTCCACAAATCCTATTCTCATCCCCAGCACTCCTCAATTCTCATACCATAGGGCAAACTGGGACATGTTCAAACAACACATTGATGACACTGATCTCACTTATGAATACAATGACAAACATCACACTGACATCGACACACAAGCACGCAACATACAAGACACCATCATTCATGCAGCAAACATCTCCATTCCTAAAACAGCACACAAACCACATTTCACTTTCACCCCCTCCATTCGCTCCAAACGCCTCTTAGCTTGCTATCACACTAGATTCTTACAAAACATACATCGTCATGGACAAATACTATGGGACCTAACAGCATTAAAAAACCATATCCTTAACAGCCTAGATGAAGATCACACAAAACATTGGAAACACCTTATAGAACAAGCAGAACAATACAGAAAACTGACACCTCAAGAATTCTGGAAACGAATCAAACGATTACAAGGATCAACTCACACACCGTTTAAATACCTTCTACATAATAACAACAAAATCACTGATCCTGAAGCAGTTCTCAACATTTTTAAACACCACTGGGAACAAATCTTTCACCCTCATCCTCCTGAACCATTTGCACGCCCCAACATTGAAATAGTCGAAGACTGGATACACCAAAATAGACAAGCAACTACACCAGACGACCTCATTCACCTTGAAAATCTCAATTCAAACACTGAACTACAGACTCCCCTAACTCTAGCTGATGTCAAGACAGCTCTCATGGGCACTCGTCGTAGAGCCCCTGGTGCGTCTGGCATTGGACATATCCTTCTTAGACAACTCCCTGCTTCTATCATTACTGCTATCACTAACCTATTCAACGCCTCCCTTGCCTCTGGATACTTTCCACTCAACTTTAAGTCTGCCACAGCCGTTCTTATTCCAAAACCTGGGAAACCCCACACTGACCCAAAGAACTATAGACCCATCAGCCTTCTAGAGACACTTGGCAAAGTCTTTGAAAGGCTGATCAACCAGAGACTTAGAACCCACCTTGAACACAATGACTTACTCACTAACAAACAGTTTGGATTTCGGCCTCACCGGTCCACTCACGACGCCTTAAACATCATGACTAACTACCTCAGTATCAATCAGCACCAAAGACTTAAGACTGCACTCATCACTAAGGACGTTGAGAAGGCCTTTGACACTGTTTGGCATGACGGCTTAAAATTCAAACTATGCAACAACTTTAATCTTCCTCTTATCACCACCAAACTTCTTTCGAACTACTTAGACAATAGGACAATGAGAATTAAGTTCCTCCAACAACACTCTGACTACTTCAACTTACACGCCGGTGTTCCCCAAGGCTCTGTTCTTGCCCCAACACTCTACATCCTATACATAAACGACATTCCTGACCCTGTTCATCACACTTCATTAACCATATGTTATGCTGATGATGTCTCTCACCTTGTCACCAGCAACACCATTGATACACTAACAAACAGAGCACAAACAGAACTTGATGTTGTCACTGAGTGGGAGTACAAATGGCGTATAAAAACCAACTCCAGCAAATCTAAAATCACCTACTTTTTCTGTAAAAGAACTATTCGCCCAATTCCTCTCAAACTCTATTCATACACTCAAAATCCTACTTATATCTCTGTATCTCCCTCCTCCACAGTCCTGGGACTCACATTTGATCGACAACTACTCTTTCACACACACATAACACAGAAACATGCAATAGCTCTTCAAGCCATGAAGAAACTATACAGACTTAGATTTGCAAAACCTGACACAAAAATGCACCTTTACAAAGCACTTATTAGACCTCTCCTAACATACGCTCCACTAGCTCTTTCTCTATCTGCACGCACTAACAAAATAAAACTTCAAAGAATACAGAACAGAGCACTAAGATGGGTACTCAACACCCGATGGCAAGAGTTAAATACCAGTCAAAGTCTCCATGAAAGTACTAACATTCCTGCCCTAAATACCTACTGGAAAACTCTATCAGACAAACAAATCGATAGACTACTCACTCATCATGAACAACACATTGATTTTCTCCTACACACTCTCAGACTACCACGAAACAATCATGACCTCTTCTCTACCATCCATGATCCTCTTCCTAACTCTGTATTTCGTTAAACTTTAGCTCTCAACACCCAGCATCCACTATCATTACATATTCAGCTCTCAACAACCAGCACAAACAATCCGTAAAAAAGTTCAGCCCTGACGCTCTTGAGCCAATCACTGTGATGTTGTGAGTTTGTGATGTCCCGATGTTGTCACTGAAAACACCCGACTGAGTCCCTGCCTCGAAAGCCGCAACCTAACGACACGCAGCTGGGTTTAGCCCTGGCACTTTTTCTCTTACAAATCTTCTTCCTCTCACCCCCCCTTATCTTCTTCTGTCCCCACTTCCAAGCTCGCCCCTATGGGCATCTTCTCCTGTATTATTCTGATTCTGATTCTGCCGAAATTTTATTATTATTCACACAACTTCAACACCATGACTGGACGCGGCAAGGGAGGCAAGGGACTCGGAAAGGGTGGCGCCAAGCGTCATCGTAAGGTGCTACGTGACAACATCCAGGGCATCACCAAGCCCGCTATTCGTCGCTTAGCTCGTCGTGGCGGCGTGAAGCGTATTTCGGGTCTCATCTACGAAGAGACCCGTGGCGTCCTGAAGGTGTTCCTCGAGAACGTCATCCGTGATGCTGTAACCTACACGGAACACGCCAAGAGGAAGACCGTCACTGCCATGGACGTGGTGTACGCTCTGAAGCGCCAGGGTCGTACCCTCTACGGATTCGGCGGATAAGAGCTTGGCTAATCCATCGATTCCACCCACCACCACCTCAAAACGGGACCTAATTAGGTCCCTATACTTTTTTACTGAAGGGCTTAATAGACGATAACATAAATTGTTTTGATATCAGCTAGCACATTGGGTCTTATGAAATCTATTTTTTATCCTCGCATGCTTAAAGGGACTCTGATTGGGGAGGGAGGGGGGGGGGGGGGGAAGGTTTGTTCCGTTATATACTAGCAGAGCAGGATCATTGGTGGTGGTGGGGGGGGGGGGTGAGGGAGAGAGAGAGAGAGAGAGATCTTTCCCAACTCTTCCTTTTTACATGAGTGAGCTACCCGTTTTATTCATTTTATCCTTCTCAGAGCTGTTTTGATAGTATCCAAATGATGGTAAATGAAAAGGGAGGACACGAATATCTACCCAGAATTCAGGACTGGCAATCGATATGCATGTTTGAGTGCGAATCTTTTTCTCTCTCAACTTAGGTATACGTTTATGTCGTACCTAAAAGCGAGAACCACACTATTGGGACAAGTATGCAAGGCCCAATTTTCCTAACAAGCACAGTTAATTTTGTTATTTTCGAACATTTCTTTCCAAATTGGTTTATCCAATTAACAGTATTATATTAAGATCATGAATTGCTGGGTTAGGTTAGGTTAGGTTAGCTTAGCTTAGGTTAGGTTAGGTTAGCTTAGCTTAGCTTGGGTTAGCTTAGGTTAGGTTAGGTTAGCTTAGCTTGGGTTAGCATAGGTTAGGTTAGGTTTGATTACATTTCTATGTTAGATTTAACTCAAATTCAAAACAATTGCAGTCATTCGGCTTGTTAGTCAACTTGCCTCTAATAGGGGCAATTTGTCTAACAAGACTATTTAGTTTTGTGTGCATATATATATATATTATAGCTTCAAGACTCCGAACCAATATAGAAGCATCAAGAGGAAGTGCTTGTGTTATGGGCCAATAGGCCTTCTGCAGTTACTTCCATTCTTATGTTTTTATTCCCATTGGTTCGTGTTTTATCTTGTGTAAATGTCAATCACCTCACCCAAAACTTTGGTACCATATCACCTCACCCATATATATATATATATATATATATATATATATATATATATATATATATATATATATATATATATATATATATATATATATATATATATATATATATATATATATAATATACAGAGTAAATCTACCCCAAAAGTAATGATTTATTTGTCTACAAAACTAAACTCTTTTTGGAATCATATGAGGCCCCTCCACTGAGGGGGGAGGCCTGGATGTTTATTGTCATGTGTATTCATGCTGCTTGCATGTCGTCGTTTATTTTGCCTTTGTTGTTTTCTTGACAGCTTTCTTTGCCTTGGGTGGTTTGGGAGATTTTGAAGCTCTCTTTATTTTGGGCTTTTTGTTCCCAACAACAAGCTGCTGCTGCTGCTGCTTCTTTTTCAAGGCTGTAGGTGGTTTGTTGCTTGTGGCGGCTTTCTTGGGAGTTACCACGGCCTTCTTTGCTGCTGTAGATGGTTTCTTGGTTGTGGTGGCTTTCTTGGGAGTTAGAACGGCCCTCTTCTCTGCTACGGCCAGCTTGAATGATCCACTAGCTCCACTTCCCTTGGTCTGAACAAGAATGCCGTCAGCCACTGCTTTCTTGAGAAATCTTCGGATGTAAATGGCGATCTTGGCAGCCTCGACTTTGTTGTTGGCAACAACGTACTTCTTGATTGCTTGTAGAGACGAGCCCTTACGGTCTTTGAGTGCTGCGACCGCGGCTAGAACCATTTGACTAGTTTTCGGGTGAGCAACCTGGACGCGAGGTTTCCTGGTGGTGGCCACCACAGCAGCAGCAGCCGCAGCCTTCTTGGTAGGCTTTGCTTCTACCATGATGATGATGAGATAACCAAGGTGATGAGAGACGCTCAGACAGTCACGGGGGAATGATGCTGCCGCCGCTTGAGCCGAACCTATTTATGTGCCGGCACGGTACAGAAGCTGCAACCTGGCAACTCGTCCACCAATCACGACGGTTGGTTTTACGGCTCCGAAACCTGGATCCCATATCTTCTCTAAAATAGAAGCATTTGTTCATGTTCTTTGTAAAAGTATCATAAAGCAGGACAGATGAGACAAATATCATAAAAACTGAAGAGCAGATGAGCACACACATGTATGTATTACAAAAGAAAATCCACAAATTCATTAGAAATTGGCAGGGTAGGCTGAGGAAGTAGGTAGATGTAAAATGTCTGTAAATGGCGAAAGAACATAAACCCAAGACTGAATAAACGATGTTAAATATCCATGCCAAGGAGACAAAAATATGTTAGGATACAATTACCATTAAGACACCACAAGAAGGTCCGTATCCTGCTGTGATGACTAAAAAGAGTTGGTTATTAGCCACAATGTGTAGGCAGTCTCATGCCAACGGCCATACCACGTTGAGAACACCGCTTCTCGTCCGATCAGCGAAGTTAAGCAACGTTGGGTTTGGTTAGTACTTGGATGGGTGACCGCCTGGGAACACCAAATGCTGTTGGCAATAATGTTTTTTGTTTTGTTTTGTTTCGTTTGTTTTTGTTTGAATGGCTGGCTGGCTGGCTGGCTGGCTGGCTGGCTGGCTGGCTGGCTGGCTGGCTGGCTGGCTGGCTGGCTGGCTGGCTGGCTGGCTGGCTGGCTGGCTGGCTGGCTGGCTGGCTGGCTGGCTGGCTGGCTGGCTCCACGGGAAATTCACGGAGTTGTGTGGAATAAGGCCTGGTAAAATGAATTAATATGTATGTCATGTTTAAAACAAACTCGCTTAATATAGTGTGTGAGGCTTTATACAAAAACAAACAACCAAAACAAAACATGTTGTATATATATATATATATATATATATATATATATATATATATATATATATATATATATATATATATATATATATATATATATATATATATATATATATATATATATATATATATATATAGCTTAATCCGGGTTTGAACTCGCAACTCCAAGAATACGCATCACTTATATACACTTTACCACTGGACCACTGCAGGACACTTGATGCTGAGGTATCAATTTAATGACGTAAATGCCATTTCCACAAATAAATGATAATTTAAAAGTATTTGTATGTACAAATCTTTTCTGTTTAAAAGGCTACAATATCAGTTACTGATATAATTTGTGTTAATGTTTCTATACCCACAGGAAGGCATGTTTTTGCTTATATGTAAGGGGTACGGAGAAGGAATCCACAGACCATCATTCCCCTTCCCCCCCCCCCCTCCCACCTACTACCACCACCACCACCACCACCACCACTACTCACCACCAATCACCACCAATCACCACCACCACCAATCACCACCAATCACCACCACCACACCTAACCGAAAACCCCCTAACACATCAACCCTCCCCCCAATCAACAGGCGAAATAATAACCCTCAAATGCCTGCCTGCCTGCCAGCCAGCCAGCCAATACTAACGGTCTTCTCAGAAAGAAAATCTCTTTGTATCTGTATTACTTGATGAAATGTATGATTCTAATAATGAAAATAAATTGTTATGTCGGTTGTATGAGCATAATGACCAATATGCACATGATATGAATGAATTAAATAGTGTAGTTTTAAGTAATTAGGTTGTAGACACATTAAGCGGATATGATATTTGACGCGTCCAGAACTGGTGATTTTTGGTTTAGTTTTAAATGCACCACCACCACCACCATTGCTTCCCCAGAGCCTAATTAAGGACCGGTAAAAGGAGTCAATATGTATGTCATCTATAAAACCAAAGAATGAATAAAAAAAACACACACACAAACCTACATAATAGTATTAGGAAGATTGTATGGCAAAAAAAAAAAAGTATTATTCCCATTGGGTCGTTTGAACTCGCGACTTCCAAAACACCAGCCACACACCTTACCACCCAGCCACCATAGAGTTGGTATAATTGTGCAACTTTAGTTATAAAAGTAAAGTTTTCTCACATTGTATTGATAACTTAAAGGATTTTTTTTTTTGCATCTACAAATCTTATTGTCTGTTCTATGAAAAGGCTTGATGTAAATTATGTATTTTTTGAATGATTGAATTGTAGGCACATTAAGCGGATTCGATATTTGATATATCCAGAAAAGGCGATTTATGTTCAGTTTTAAAATGCATCACCGTTAACGCTAAAGGACTGGTAAAATGACTCGATGTTTGTCATTTTTAAAATAAACACTAAAACAAGGCCCTTAACATATATAATGTTTGAATATAAATTGAATGCATATAAATACAAAGTGGGAGTGGCTGGCTGGCTGGCTGGCTGGCTGGCTGGCTGGCTGCCTGCCTGCCTGCCTGCCTGCCTGCCTGCCTGCCTGCCTGCCTGCCTGCCTGCCTGCCTGCCTGCCTGCCTGCCTGCCTGCCTGCCTGCCTGCCTGCCTGCCTGCCTGCCTGCCTGCCTGCCTGCCTGCCTTGCCTTGCCTGGCCTGCCTGGCCTGTCCTGTTATTGCCTTGCCTTGCCTTGCCTTGCCCTGCCTTGGCTGCTGGCTGGCTGGCTGGCTGGCTGGCTGGCTGGCCGTAAATCAACTCTTAACAACACCACACCACACCACACCACACCATCACTCATCACCCATCACCCACCACCGGCCCCAGTCTCCCAGCCTCTCTTATATACCCGAGCAGGCCCTTTAAATTATTTGAATTGTTGCACTTCGGCCAATGGCACGATCGCTGCTGCTCAAACATATTCTGGTTCACAAGTATTAAAATATATATATATATATATATATATATATATATATATATATATATATATATATATATATATATATATATATATATATATATATATATATATATATATATATATATATATATATTCATGAAACACATTAAAACCTTGATCATTTATTCATTTATTACGTCTAGTGAAGAATTGCTTTTGTTCATTTGTATGATTAAAAATTGATAGAATAAGAATTCCTCGCTTAAAGTAAAATATAAAATATATATTGGATTTATATGATTGGTTAATATTCCAAGTGATGCTGAATATCCCCTATAATTTTGTTTTGTTTGTTTGTTATGTACACATTCCAAATGAAATCAATATAAATGTTATTATTAATGTTTGAAAGTTGATTGTCTACTTGAATCTCTCTATTAAAGTGTGTGTGGCTCCGGATGGAGCCTGGTTATGGTATTTGTCGTGGTGGGTGGCAGAAGTGCTTACTTCTTCTCTGTCTTCTTTGGCAAAAGAACTGCCTGAATGTTTGGAAGAACACCTCCCTGTGCAATGGTTACGCCAGACAGAAGTTTGTTGAGTTCTTCGTCGTTGCGGATGGCCAACTGCAAGTGACGTGGGATGATACGGGTCTTCTTGTTGTCACGTGCGGCGTTACCGGCGAGCTCCAGAACTTCGGCAGCGAGGTATTCCATGACGGCTGCCAGGTAGACAGGAGCGCCAGCACCGACGCGTTCGGCGTAGTTGCCCTTACGCAGCAGACGGTGAATTCTGCCCACGGGGAACTGAAGTCCGGCCCTGCTGGAGCGAGACTTTGACTTGCCCTTCACTTTGCCTCCCTTGCCGCGTCCTGACATTGCTGCTGCTGTTGTGGGTTTGTGGTGTTTTATGCCGGCTTCGCTTTGCTTTCGCTTTGATGTCCAAAGAGCTTGGAAAGGATGTGGGAGGAAGAAGGATGGGGCGATGAAATTTTTGGAAGAGGATTTGGATGTGGAGAGAGGAGGCTTGAAAGTTCGGTGGCCCGTCCACCTTGGATTGGAGATGTTTTTTCAGTCAAAGCCTGTAGCTTAAGTTCTTCTTGGGCGGCAGGAGGCTAGTGGTGGGGCAGGGTGATGTCGTCCTGGTTCACTTGAGGTGGTCTGTCTGGCTTGGAGGAGGCGTCTTCCTTATTGAGATGGTGAGAGGTAAGTTCACTGTTGCTTGGTGGTGTCTCGGCCAGGAGGTATTCGCATGTACTTCCCGAATGTTAGCGGTGGTATTGGTGTTCCTGTCGGGTCTTCATCTTCTTCCAGGAAGGTCACTTGTCCCCTCTTGAAGTCGAATTTAGGGTCGATGTATTCACACTCCAGAGCGCAGAGGTCTACATAGCGTTCCACGGTCTCGTGGTGGACAAACACAGGGTAAGGAATGGTGGTCCTGAGCTGGTTCATGATCCTGTTGCATTCTAAGGCAATGACCATTCTTGTGCTTCGATTGCCGTTGAAATTGCCACCGTGATTGAGGTAAAGTCCATAGCAGGGCACTTTCTTGCTTGATTTGCTTGGGTTTAGGTCGAAGTCTGGGGCCTCATATGTGAAGGTCTCAGCCAGGGCTTCTTGGAACTCTGCATCTGAATCTGATTCTGTTTCCACTTGCTGACTTTTTGGTCTCCTTTTTGCTCTCATTTTCTTCCGTCTCTGGCTGGTGGGGGCAGGTGATGAGGTTGACTGGTCTGCTGTGGTGGTAGTCTGGGTGGATGCTGTTGCCTGGGTGACTTGTGCTGGGTTCGACTCCGGTGGTGGTGGTTGCGGTATGACTGCGGTTACTGTTGGTGTTGGAATTTCGTCTGTTTGGGTTGAAGCAGCGTTGTGATGTTGAAATAGGTCTGCTGGTATCAACATTGTAGGCAGGTTGTTCTGGGCGAGCAGCCTGTTCAGTACTCTCACGTATTTTGCGTTGTCTGTTCCCGCCTCTCTCTCAGCTACACTGATCAGGCATGGGATGAGAGTGGTGTTGGTCGAGGCCGCTGATTGGTTGACAGTCAAGTTGGTTGGCTGAGCTGCAGTCGCCTGTGTCCTGGGTCCCCATTGGGGGGTGGTCTGGCCTGGTGTGGACGTCTGTGTAGCAGGAGCAGAAGCGTTGGGAAGCACTGGAAGCGATGTAGCTTGGATATTGAAGCTCGCCGGCTGATTGGTTGTTGGGTTGGCAGTTACTGTTTTATTTATTTCATCTAGTCGTACTTGGCAGTCCATGGAGACGGCGATGTGAGCTCCTCCACAATTGAGGCACAGTTTGGTGGTTGACCGGCAGGTTTTGAAGTGATGATCCTGGGTACAAATGCTGCATTTAACCTCTGCTTGTTGGCAGTTCTTGGTATCATGATCGTACTTGTAGCACTTAAAGCACTGGCGAATGTTGTAGTACCGTTCCTTCTTTACAGTGTCAGGTGTGATGGAAATATCCAGACATCTAAATCCATTTTCCACAGCTTGGGTCGCTGCAGCAGCTGTTGTGAAGGTGACCTTGAGAGTAGGCCTAGGGTTGTCGTTGTTCTTGATGACCTTGACTGTAGCAGCAGTCAGAGCCGGGTTTCTGGTGTTGATACTATCAAGTATGGTACCAGGGTCTTGGGTGGCGATGTAGACACTCGTG